GGGCGGGTGACGAGACCGTTATGGAGCAGTGTGCAAATGGCCCTGGCACTCGCGGCGGGTGGCGCGGTCCCCTAAGGCCCGTCGGCCACGTCTCGGATGGAGCGCAAACAACACCTGCAACCCCTCATATGACGAGGGCTCCCCGTTCATGAAGGAATGCTCTCTCCGGCCGACGGCTCACCGAGCGGCCATTTGTGGGCCGCGGCTGGCGTTGTGCGAGAGAGAGATAGAGAGCGAGCGAGAGCGAGAGAGAGCGAGAGAGAGAGCGAGAGAGAGCGAGAGAGAGAGCGAGAGAGAGCGAGAGAGAGCGAGAGAGAGAGCGAGAGAGAGAGAGGGGGGGGGGGTTCCACTGAACGGGTCAGCTGATCGAGCGTAGTAGATGCTGACCCAAAACAACGAGCTGAGCAAAAAAAGAATGATTTGAAAAAACTTAACAAGTTTCTTAAAAATTAAATTGTACATTAATAATGACGAAAAGTATTCTTTCTTGGAGGACAAGAACGCGATGACATCCTCATCATGGCGTTGTTCACCACCCCGCACTAGGGCCGGGTAGCGCCTGGTGCCTGGTTAGGAACAGGTTAGGAAGGTCTTGGGTCTCGCCTCCTCGGGGCCGCGGAGCATCTCCTCTGCAGCCGGGCCGGCTTGGTTTGTGCGATCGGTCATCAACCTCCTAGGAGTAGGCCGACGGAACGGCCGTGCCTCAGGGCAGGACTGCTCCTACCGGCTTGTGGGAGGCGTCCGTTTCTTGAAACTGATGACTGTTCTCAAGATATCTTCTGTCAAAAAAATAAAATTGTGTTTCTGAATGGACATTGTGGATTATTGGTCATCATAAAGCGAAGCAGTCATTATTTTCAGATATTTAAGAAAGATGTTGTGAATCAAAGACGTTTTCGTCGAATAATGACATCGACTTAATCCAAGTTACATCCACGAAAACCTTGCAAATACAAAAGAAGTTTAGGTATCTATTCCGGAACACGTTGTACCCGGTGGTTGATTCATGCCAACCGCGGGCATGCTGGTACAGTATAACTACAACTGCGAAAGTGCGCGGCGTGAATCCGCCACCCAGTATGTATGATTTCGATAAATTTGTATTTAATTAGTCAAAAACACCGCCTAAGCTCCGCTTAGCTCGCAGTTTGTTTTCGTGTATTGCGCCTGCTGCAGGTGGCGCTGGAGACCCCGGATGGGTGGTGGTTGGGGGGGAGGGTGTCTGATAAGGCGGCGCTTTTGCCTAGGGTGCAATGGACTTCGGGAAGGAGAGGGGAGGGGGCGTGTCGGACCAAAGGCAGCGCCTCTGTTTCTCAACGTGCATTTCTGGGCGCAATCTAAAATAAGCGGTCGCGGACCGCGGGCTTTTGCCAAGAACGCGCAAGGGCTGCAAGGGGAGGGGAGGAGGGGAAGGGAGGGAAGGGAAGAACAATGGTAAGATAAGACCAGGTGGCGCCAGGCCGGCGCGCGGAGGAGGGCGTCTCGGCTCGCTCTGGGGGGAGCGAGAGCTGCCCGCGGCTCGGCGCGCGGCGCGCCCTGGGAGCGTAGGACCAGCCAAGCTTGCAGCTTTGTAGCTTCATGGGTTGCTTGCCCCTATTTCTCTCTCTCGCTCTCTCTCCTCTCGCTCACACACACGCATACTATGAATGAGAGTAAGAGAGAAACAGAGGAGACCACCATAAGGACCAGACTACCGAACCTCTCGCGGCTGAAAGCCATGCAATTCGGGTCCCTCATGCGGCACTAAAGACATGACAAGGGTCGCCCCCCCCCTCCCCCCCTCGCCAAACCTCTCGGTCCAAATGACGGATGGGGTGGCAGGGCGGGGCGGCGGGCGTGCGAGTAAACACGTGAGGAATGCCC